ATTTATTCCCGTCAATTACAGTAAATTTAAAATTCTGACTCATAGTAAGTGTATAATTAACGGCTATTTAAGAAAGTTAGTTGTCTCATTTGCCACGCGTGCTACTCAGGTCTCAACAACTTATACTTTTGTAACGGAACTTTACCTGTGGGGAAAGAACTTCCACTAACCAGTAAGGTGGAATATTTTTTTCAAACCGCTAATTTCATCGCTGTTATTTATTAAGAGTTCATGTTCCTAATACCTACTTTGATTATATTCCCATATTCCCTTACAAACTATATACAATATGTATATATATATATATTTTTTTCCCCACTACACGCAGAGAAATGATTTATTTGAACCAAATAAAGTATATTTGAGTTAAATAAACGTATATTTGTCTCAGAGCCTACTAATTTATTTATTTGGCGTAAATAAAAGTTTTATTTGTCAGAAATAAATTTTTCTTTGCCTCAAATAAATTTTTTATTTCAATGAAATAAAATATATTTGCAACAAATAAATGAGTTAGTAGGCTCGGAGACAAATATACCATTTCTATAAGTGTATACACGGAGAGAAGAGTGTAGTGAATGTTACTACGAGTTGAGTAACAGTTACTATATAATTTCGTTTGTTTTCGACTGTCAAAACAAATGGTAAGGTTAACTAGAATTTTGTCAGATGTACTAAATGAATAGTGAATCTGACATTAATAAATGATTTTTGTTTATATTATAATTAAACTTTTTGTAACCAAATACCAACGATTCAAATTCTATTTGTTATTTTTTTCCTGTAATTTCGATGTAAAAACAAATGTATGTAATAAATTGCAGCTCTTTGTCCGCTAGCTGGGAGAGTATTAACTGGACGGATTCACGAGTCTGTCCATAAGGTTTCCTTCATTCATCGTAGATATGGAACCCTAAATAGAGTGCACAGTTAATTCGAATCTTAATGTATATGCAAGTTTTAAACATTGATCATTATTATTTTTCTATTTCAAGAGAATCGAATTACTTGCTATAATATACTACCCTGCGGTCTATTAGCGTCATCACCATTTCTTTGACCCGCTTTCTTTTTTTCCAGACGATATGACTTAAATATACTGTTGTCTATTCACCTATGCATATTTTCTTTAACTGGAAAATTCACAAGGAACGAGTTTTGGTCCATTTTCTCTTTCTTCTTTTTTTAAACTTTAGTGCACTCACAATCAGATAAAACCGCTGCCAATTTGAAGTATGAACTTTTTGTGTTCATTTCATCAACACTTTGGTTCCTTATGGAGATTTTTTGTAATCAATTTATAGTAACTTATTTAGTTTAATAATAATTTTAAAAAAGTGTTATGTTGTATTTTTTAGGCTTTTGCTGGGATAGATTTTTAACATCAATAACTTTATAATATTTTATAATAAAATGTTCAATAATAAGTCAATTGATTCGTTTTTAAATATCCTCCAAGTTGTTGATAATAATTTTAAAGTTACATAAAGATTTTTTAATAAATAATGCAAAATGGCAAGTTTTTAAAAATTTTTCAATTTCAAAATGTTAATAACTCTGAATAAAATAATATTAGGATGCCCTTTGATTAAAAATTTTTTAAAAATTAATTTTTGTTCCTATCTTAATTCTTTCACGTTTTGCTACTAGTTCTATTTTACGCCTCCAAAAAGGTAGATAAATCCAAATCTTCATATTTGGAGTCGTTAAGTTTGAAGAGCAATACAAGGAGTAAAGAAGACTTTATAAGTAGACTTTAGGAGAATCTAAGTAGATTTTAAAAACATTATTGGACAAGTTATGTAGGACCTGAATTTCGACTCGAAAATTACTACAATCTTCCGGAAAAATGTTGTGCTATATCTATGAGTATATAGCCAAAAATAATGAAAATAAATTTGCTCTATATTTATTAGAGAGTAGTGATGAATTAAACTAGAGTTTTGATCAAGAACACCGTCTAATTATTTCAAGTAGAAAAAGTAACTTAATAGTAGAGAGAGAAAGTGATCATCTATGATCCGTTGCATGAAGCTTAATAATACGTACTGATGACGACACAGAACGGTTATATTTGCAAATGATCAATAATATAATAATAATAATGACAATAATTTTGTAGAACAATATTGTCTCAATATTATATTGTTTTGCAATATTATCTCAATATTACTTGTCAATGTTACCTCAGGGAAGACATAATTAATATTGTAACAATAATATCGAGTACTATTTACAATATTGTCATGCAATATTAATTTATAAAGATTAGATAATCTTGATAACTAATTAATTTTATTATTATTATTATTATTATTATTATTATTAATTTCACTTAGAAATCGAAGTGAAATTCTCTAAACTTAAAGTTTTTCTAAATTTTACTCAATTTTTTGTTTTAAAAATTTTTCTAAGGTAGGGTACATAACTAGGAAGACTATTTCAGCTGCAGCCAAGCTAGAACTATAATTATATAGCTTACAATATATTTTTGGAAATCATCCTTTAATCACAATATTTATGTTTCGACTGTCGGCGAAGTCCGTTTTTGTTAATAATTTTTTAAAAATTAATAAAAAATCAAACTATTTTTAAGGCTCAAGTATTATGTGGTAACAAAGATTTTTGTAAAGTTTTACGGTAATCAGTTTGTTTTTGACGAAAATATTAAGTAATTTTGAAAATGATACTCCGAAACGATAATTTTTTCTATTTTGAATTTTGTGAAAAATATACTTATCATTTACAAATATAGATAATTCTTTTTATTATAATTGTAAAACATAATAGTTTATAAAATCTATATTTCCAATATTAAAAACAAGTTGTCAAATAAAAAAAATTATGAAATGTTTAAACTATTATTATGTAGTCGAACTTACTCGCTGCTCAAACGAATTAATCAATTTTTCACTCACACTTTAATTATAATTTATTCAATGTTTTCATTAATAAATAATAATTTTTGTCTTATTCTTGAATGTTGTCTTCGTACTGTCAAACAGTATAAATATCCAAACTATATTTTTTACTCTAACCTTTTTTGGCCAAACTTACCTGACTCTCCTCTATAGGTGTCCCACTACATTTGCAGTCAAAGGTATAATAGGATAAATCCATACGTTTACAAAAATTTTATAATATTTTAATGCGAATATTTATGTATATTTTTGGAACAAATTTCAAGTTTTTTAACTTGATCGCAAATCGATTATAGTTATAGTATGCCGACAAATAAAGTAGTTATTTTTTCACTTGCCAGTAACTGTATATGGTACGTATATTTCATATTATAGTATGCTCTAATAAATATACTATACGCATATACTTTCTATGGCAACATATTAACTACCAATAGGTAACAATAGTATATTACATTATAAGGGCAGAAAGTTGGAATTCCGGCACTGTGCGAAATGATGCCCGAGTCGAAGCCGAGGGCATCATCGCGCAGTTTAGGGCTTTCGAATGTTCTGCCCGGGTAATGTATACTATTTTTCTTTATATACGGTCGAAGGTACGACACACAATAATTCACTTATTAAAAAAATTTCTATTGAGTATTCCATTTGACAAGCCGCCATCTTTTACTTTTGCTCATCGCTTCAACGCCTCTAACTGACACTCTGGAAGCTCTGACTTTTTCTCTGTCTCTGTTTCAGTCAAGTCTCTTTTCTTGATGCCTGCTCCGACATTTGCTGCACGAGCGAAGCGAGTGCTGCTGGTCAGGGGATATTTAATAGGGATATTTAACAAAAAATTTCAGGTGAAGGTAATTTTTTCTTAAAACACAATAATGCCTATCAGTGAATTTTGAAATAATTCAAATACACTTGACATGGAATGACCCATCCTTGTCAGAAATTTTGAGAAGGATGAGTCATTTCATGTCAAGTGTACCCAACCCATGTTTTTGACAAGGTTAGGTAAGGGTTAGCCAACCCATGTTTTTGACATGGATAGTACATTGGATGGTTACACGTGATATGGAATGACCTATATGAATATAGCCGCAAGTCCCCCCTCCCTTCTCTCTCTCTCCTTCCCTCTCCCGCCAAAAATGACATAAATTTTGAGGTTATGTTAATTTCAAGACTTTAAATATAGCCGCAAGTGGATTTGGAGTTCCCGCCAAAAATAACCTGAATTTAAAGGTTATGTTCGTTTCAAAACTGTGAATATAATCGCAAGGCCCCCCCCTTCCTTACGTTGAAAGGGTGGTGGATTTTTCGCCGAAATTGAACTAAATTTTAAGGTTAAGTTATTTTGGCGGGAAATGACCAAAATCAAACATATCCTCAAAATTTATGTTAAACTTTGAAGGAAAATGACCAAGAAACGAAAATAACCTTAAATGTATGTCAAATTTTATCTGGAAAATTTAACAAATTAGATAAATTTTGTTTTTAAATTGAAAATAATAAAAGTTATTGTTAATAAAAATCGTATATAACATTTAAACAAATAAATAATAAAATATTAATAATAGTTTTAAATTCCAGAAATTGGCCAAACATTAACTCAATCATCTACAAAAACAATAAAAAATAGGAGGTTGGCGCGCAAGGGGGCGGATCCCCCCTAATATATATATATATATATATATATATATATATATAGCAAATTTAACAAGTTAGTGTCGTGACTTCATTGATTATTAAAGTGATAATATTGACCCTCTTTCCTCCTTTTCTTGAATAAAAACAAATTTTTATACGAATTATAAAACTATTTAATAAAAAGCAAGTAAAAATCAATGTTGTAGTTTCGCTACTGAGATGTTGATGTATTACTGACATAAAGGTTTTAATTATTTGTGCAACTTAATAAAAAGCATTTTCTCTAAATTGGTGTTGCACAAAGTACTATATGTGCACCACGTACGAAAGAACATTTTCCGACTCGCTTCGCTCGTAGCAGCAAATTTTGCGCTTGTCGGAAAACAGCTTCTTTCGGTACTTAGTACACAATATACTATTATGTACATACAGAAAACAAACCTTGGTTGATGGCTTTTGAAGAAAAGTTGCGATTCCTGCACGCACCCTATTTTTAACTCCGCGCACAGTTCCCTTGGCACTCCTTATGGCTTCTTTTTCTGAAATTTTATATCCTGCAAAGCATTCATTTTCTTTGTCGTCGTTTTCGCCTTTACCTATTACCATTGATTCCAATATGCCTTTGTCATCGAAACATCGTTCGTGCAAGTGAAACTTATAGAACCTATCATCATCGTAAACATATTTCGTATTTGATATCGAGTTATTATAGTTCGAATAGTAATTTGCTTCAGTTCTTTCTTGTATTTGATTTCTCTCCTCATATGTGCATTCTCTGACAATTGGTATCCAAGATTGTTGTGGTGTATTCTCAGTTGGTGAGCGGTTTGAGACTCTAGGAATACATGTGACTTGTTTTAGTGTTGCTGAAGAAGAGCTCAGCATATTACAATTTGACGTCAAGTAATTAGAAATATCTTTCTCGTCATATTCGTCTTTTTTGAGATTAGAATCATACATTTCATTTACTAGAAGAATGTCCAATTTTGTTGACATGCGATGAGCTTTTGTTCTCTTATTGACCTCATCAACTTCTCCGACCTTGACGTCATTGGAATTATTTTCAGCATCAAAGTTGGTCGCATGTTGTTGAGTCTCGAAGCCTTTCTCTTCCACGTTAGCAATCCCATTCACTTGAGTACTCGACAATTCCCCACTGTTGAGAGAATCGCAACTAATATTACTTCGACTATCATCATCATTGTCATTCTCATCACTGTCTGCATCTGCACCACTGCTCGAAAGGCTCCCAGTACGATGATGATTGTTATGTTCAGTATTAGTGCTTTCACTAAGAAGAATTGTACACGAACTTTTTTTCGGCAAAGGAGGTGGGGTACCGTCCAAATCGCTACACGTTCCGCTGTCTAAAGTATCAGAGGGAGAACACTGTCCACTAGACATGACCATGTTCGCTAAAGGACTTTGAAATGACCCGTAATAGAAGCTATTCCTGAGGCTCGAATTTTGTTGAATCATTTCATTTTTGTCGTATTGCTGCAGGTGCGATAAGTTCCCATCATCATTGCTATGGTTTTTACTGTTGATGATGTTAATCCTTACACATCCGTCATTCTCGGTTTCCGCTCTACTCGCAGTACACACCAGCACAACACCATTCTGTTTATCGGAACACTCCTCGTACTTATTTCTAATCTTTGAGTCAATCAAGGTCTTATCTAAATTGAGTCGCACCGAAGATATCACTTTACTATTTTCATTCTTAGGATTAATTCTAATCTTAACAACGTGCTGTTGGGGACACTCGATAGTTTTCTGCCAGTCTCGAACGCTATCTGATTGCACTTCCGGGACACAGTCTTTGATGCAGGTTGCGGTAGAATCAGCTACAGGAGCGCTACCTCCGATGAGTACCGTTGCTCCTGTCGCCTCGACTGCAGACAGAGGTGAGGGGAAAGATACTGTCTGGATTGACACAGTCTGCTGGCTAACAGCTGCAGCAGCCTGTTTCAAATCCCGAGTTTGGTTCTTGCCTGGCAATGGTGGAGGAACGGTCATTCCGACTATCTCGTCCATCTGCTACTATCATTCGATCGGTTACAGAGTACTTTGTTTTGATATCAATCTGTCCAATTTATAGAGTGGACAAACAGGATTCAAGAGGTTTTTGTCAACTTTTAAGTTTCGCGACTGAAAACACTAATTTCCAATTCACCCATTTGCATGATTTTCGAAGGCACGTTTCTAAAACATTACACTCGAATGACCATCGTGTTTTGCTAATCTAGTGTTTGCGTCATTCAATTTCCTGCCTCTTGTCGAGATTATCATTTTGTATTCTCACAGAACACAGAATCTTTTTTATATACTTTAACGGAAGTTGCTGCTACCCATCTGCTTCACATGCATGTATTAGTACTAACATAAATATGTACTTAATAATGAATTTGAACCAATACTATTGAAAGAGATTATCGATACAATAATATATTTACAAAGAGGGACCTGAACAATTTCTATGTGCCTATCAAGAATGAAGAAGAATCATCCTAGTTCACAGGTGCGTGCAAATACTAGTAGAGAATGCAACATCTACTATAATATACATTAACTGTTCGCAAAGAAATTCCATCTAACCTTGTTATGTATACGTATTGGTATGTATACCCCACATGCATTTCCGGAAGTCACGCGTGCATCTAACATTACATTATATAGTATGATCTCACACGAAAAGATAAAACTTCCTTTTAATCAAAATACATGACATTCGAATTGTTTACTATATTCTACCTGTACCAATCAAATATGGATAGACGTGTAAATTACTTAGTCTGAAACATATGCCTTTCCATACGTATATGTTGCGCAACTTCTTTTTCTATTGCAGTTGTAACATTATTATTATTATTAATCTTATTCAATTGAGAAATTGAGTAGTAACTCTAACGAAAAAAATGAAAATTAGTTAGAAACAAAGAAATAAATGGCTGGTTTCTGAATGTTTATTCCTACAAATAAAATTAATTGAGTGAATTCACATCAACACTGTAAGATGAAAGTAATTTTCATTATAAGTTATACACATACGCAGCTATATGTAAATATGTCAAGTGAATTTCAAGAAATTTATATAAATTTGAAGAATTTGATTCTAATTTCATTATATGTTTCAAAATCTCAATTAATAAAAACGCTAACACGCATAAAACCTTTACCTTTAAGAAAGATTGTTTAATTAAAATTCTAAAATGAACTTTTTAAAAACCGAGCTTAATATGTAAAAGGGTTACAAATTTAAATTAAATTTTATAGAAATTGCGAGTATATAGAACGTAATTTTATTCTTGAATAAATTGTTCAACTGTAACTAAGAAACGTTTTATACATGCATTGCTACTTCTCATTACCGTTATTACAGAATAGAACTTTTCAACTCTACATATTAGCAAGACTAGTGTGACATAGAATGATTTTTTGCAATGTAATACAAATTAATTTTTATGATATTTATTTAAAAAATAGCTTCCATAAATGTAAACACGTTCCACTTAAGGGGTTAAAAATGCTAATTTCTTAACATATTTTTAGAAGTAGAGAACAGCATACATTCCACAAGAATTACACAAAATTGAATGTACAAAAATTGTATCCTTTCGAAAATTCTAGATTAACAAAACACCAGAGTTTTTAACACTTAATCACTGATAAATCGGATAGTATTAATTGTAAATAAAATTTGCATTAAATTATAAACTGGAAGAAACGAAATTGTTGGAGAGATATGGTTATACGAAATGGAAATTCTTTAGAAAATGTACCGGCCCGGTGAAGGTTTGAAGAGGTAACTGTACTGAATAGTGGCTCATGCACCACTGTCTCTTGGGTTGGGTTGGGTGGGGACTGAAGAAGTGACGGGCCCTGGATATTTACTATATGTATGTATAATACTGAAAAGAACGAGAAATAAAGAGGTAGGGACAAGGAAAAGGGGGACCGAAGGATAAGAACGGGTCTTAAGAGTCCGGTTTGATGTTGATGCAGCTGATGCTGATGTATCTAGTGGTGTCCTCTAGTGAATCACGCGAAATCAACTTACCGGTATGTGTCTCATTTAAATACCTGTTCTTTACCGTTCAATCAAGTGGAGACTTACATACAAATGGATGTAGAATACAAAAAAATTAGAAAAATACAGAATATAAATTGTGTTATGCTTTTAAGAGCTTAAAAATATTTCGTTAAGGCTACAAAATTTCACTTCTCTAATGGCTGAAACTATGTACCGTATACCTATTCACCTTACATGACGGAACGCAACGAATGCACCTGCCAAAAATTTCACCAACTTGTAACTCTGGTCGAACAGGTTGATCGACTTTCTGGTTCTGCAATTCGGCCTGATTATAACAGCATTTATATGAACCTGGTTTGTTATTCGATTCAAATTCCTCTGGACTTTATAAAACTTCATGTGCAAACTTGCATTGCAACTAATTAAATATAAATTTACAATTTGATAAAAGCTCCTATAGTTTGATAACATAATCCTAAAACTATATATATTTAAATAAATTCGATGCGAAAGGACGTCAACACAAAGAGGTCAAAATTACTATACAATTTCGATAATTTTTAGACTACTCACTCTTAACTTAATCATTATAATGGAAAAAATTTTGGGGAAGGTATTAAAACCCCGTACAGTGAAGTCATAAACACAAAAATATGCATACATAATAATATGTTTTATATTTTTATCTCATTTATTTTCATAATAAATAATATTAACAAAAATATATGTATCCACTCTTTCCTTTCCAACATGTGACCATCCAATCGCTCAACTCTTTCTCCCATCTTATGGTCTTCGTCCGCGCGTAATAATTGCTTACATTTTCATGTTAGTTTAGGGGAGAGTAGTCCTGTGAGTTAAGTCGTCCCCCCGAGTTTCTCAGAGCTGGTGTTCATGTCGAATTAATAATTTTGTGGTATGACATATTGACAAACACTAAAATAATTATTTTAGTGTTAAAAAATTATTAATTAAAACAGAATTATTAATTCGCCGCCAACGCCAGATCTGAGAAACACGGGGGAAGGCGATTTAACCCACAGGGCCGACATCTCCCCTACATTTTACTAGTTGAACGTACCCTTAATACAAATGACTGGTGCCTTAGTTTTCATTAGATCCAAAATATTCAATAAAAACAGATTTTGATTTTATACGCATATAATTAAAAATAAAAGTTTAATTAAGGGAAAACTATATCACTAAACATATAAACTAAAATTTGTACACAGTTAAGGTACACTGAAAAAATGTTGCCGAGAAATTCAACTACCGCTGGTAGTTGACTAGAAAGTAGTTAAAATAACTACTTTTTTAGTTAATCTAATCATGTTCATCTAGTTAATGTAACTATTTTTAAAAAGTTAATAAGTAATAGTTGATTTTACGTAAATATATAGTTAAAGTACAACTACAGGTCGGTAGTAAAATTAACTTGAAGACTAGTAAATCCAACTACTATTCACCAGTTACATATGAAATGTAGTAAAATGAATTATTTTCTTTAATTAATATAACTGCTTTTTGAGTAGTAAATTTTTTATTACTTTCTATTATTTTATAAGCTTCAATAAAATTCTTGTAGTAGAATTAACAAGTCTTCTGTAATTAAAACTACTACTTTAAGTGGTCATTTTTTACTATTTTAATTAATTCAATAAGCTTGAAAAACGTTTTTGATGTAAAATTTACAAATCGTTTCCAATTAAAACTACTACTTTCAGTAGTAGCTTTTACTACTTAAAGTGGTTCAATAGGCCTTTGCAATTAAAACTATCACTTTAAATAGTAGATTTTACTGCACTATGCAATTAAACAACTTATGATATAATTAAAAGATGAAAAATTCACAAGTCAAAACTTAAAAAGGATAGTTATAGCAACTAATAAAAGTAGTAAAAATGACTACTTTAAATAGTTAAATTACCAATTGGACAAGCAGAAAGTAGTCTTCGAGTAGTTTGCAGACTGTCGTAGCGAATGTGCGTGGTTAGTCGGTTAAGGTATCGGATAGCGAGCGTTAGTGTCGAGGGTTCAATTCCCGTCGGTTAGAAATTTTCTCTGTTAGGTACATAGTCGTTAGGGCATTAAATAAGCTTCAGTATAGAAGAGAGGATGAAAAAGTCAATTCTACTGATAATAAACAATTATAAATAAAAAATAATTTTATTTTCCTATTTTAAGTAGTAAAATTTACTACTTAAAGTATTAGTTTTAATTGTAAAAGATTTATTAATTCTACAAAAAAATGTTCTTAAAGCCCATTGAAACACTTTCAGTAGTAAAGTTTACTATACTTAAAGTAGTAGTTTCAATTGCAAAATATTTATTAAATGTACCAAAAAAATGTTCTTAAAGCCTATTGAACCACTTTAAGTAGTAAAATCTACTACTTACATCTTGAGTTGTTTTAACATTTTTAAATTGAGTTAATACAATCACAAAATGTCATTCTACCAATTACATTTTTAATTGGTTTAACTATTTTTATATAGTTAATAGAACCGTTTAAATTCAGTTCAGGACCTATTGTACTACTCACAGTAGTTAAAAAGTAGTAAAACCTACTAATTTTTTTTCAGTGTATCTTTCACAGACACATATGTAACTTGTTTAAGAGGTTCATATTTTGATTTAAGCATCGCATAAGAAATTATTGTCTATTGGGGACTCAACATAAAAATTTGTTTTGCTATCAATTCTATTTCATAAAATGCGGTCAAATAGAAATTCAGCCTTATAAGTTTCGAAATTTCAAACTAATAAGTTTTTTGTTTTTTATTTTGAACATGATAATAATAATAAATAAATAAAGAGGATATTATCCCATAATAATAATGAAAATAATAATAATCATAATGTATGAAATATATACTACAGAAAACAAATTGTTTCCAGCAGATGAGAGCTATACACGGAGAAAAAAACGGTTTTCTTAAAAAATACTTGATAGATTGAGCTAAAATTTTGTGGAGAACTTAAAAAATAAGGATTCACAATATCTTGCTGTAAGCTTCCCTTCACCGAAAAAACGGTATTCTAGTTTTAAGAATGTTATATTCTTACATAAATATTCTTAATAATATTCTTAAGCAGATTCTACCCAACCAAAAATTTCAGTATTATACCAGAGGTAACTACTAACGCAGTACTGGTTGAGTATTGGCTGCAGAGGCTGGGCAGCCTGTACTGAACCAGTACTGGTATTTTCATAGTATCAGTACTGGTGCAGTACCACCCTTCAAGTACTGGCAAACCAGTACTGAGCCGATATTAAGCCAGTACTGGCTCAAACAGATTTTTTTTTATTAATCCTAGTTTACAAAAAGTTCTAGAGTGAACCTGATGAATCTTTTTGTTTAAATATTTTGTTTTTAAAAATTTTTTCACTTTAATTTTATTTTTGAAAATTAAATGATATTTTATTTTGCTTTTTTGTGGGTAAAATTATTTAAACAAAAAGTTTCCTGAGACTAATTCCAAAACATTTTGCAAGTTTTTTTCATTGTTTTCAGATATGCAATAAACCAAAAAAATTTTTAAACGATCAAACTAAAAATAAATAAAATGTTTTATAAAAAAATTAATAATTTTTAATATAAAAATTTTAAAAAATTTTCTTGACAACACTTGTTAAAAATTAAAAAAACAACTTTTATTTTCTTAAAAAAGTTTTTCAAAAAATTATTTTTAAGCAAATAATTAAAGTGAATAAAAAAATAATTAAAAAGCTAATTTTAAAATTATATACATTATAATTATTTTATAAACATTTTTTTTTACTGAACTGTTTTTATATATTATAAAAACTTTGGTTTTATAATAAACATATTTTTATATTTATTTTTTGATTTTTTTAAATAATAATTTGCAATATATATTATTCTTAATAAAAAATAAAAACTCTTGGTGTTTTCGATTTTATGTATAATAAAATATTAATTAGTTAGTTGACTAATTTAATTAATATTAAATTTGTGTTGGGTTACTAAAAATTTCACACACTTTTTCCTAAAAAAAAGTATTACCTGGAGCAGAGATTTCACTATTGCAGTGAAACTAATCTCTGTTACAGTTAAAGCTTTCTTTTCGTATACAATAAATTACAAAAGTACCAGTACTCAGCCAGTAATGAACCAGTAGTGGTTACCAGTATTGGTGCCAACTCTGGCAGCCAATACTGGTAAAATGTTATCATCCCAAAGTTACGCCAACTCTGGCGCCAATACTGGGTACCAGTACTGCGCCAACACTTGTCAGTACTGCGCCAGTACTGCGCCATTAGTAAATTTTTGATTGGGTAACTTTAAGAATATTTTCTATGTACTAAATCTTCTTCTTCTTAAAAAAAGAATATGCCCTAGAATTGACGTGCTGCTAGCTTGTTCGCGTCGCCATTGACTAACTAGTCGTCGTGCGCGTCTGAGTGTTTTTTTGACAATCATAGTGAAAAATGGAAGAAGTTACCGCCTGGCTGCGGAAAAACTCGCTAGATGAGTTAATCGAAGTGTTTAGAGCGACCAAAAAAGTTAGTTTTCGCGGTACTGCTCACAAATCAGGAATGATTTGCCAGTCGCTTATGTAGACAATGTACCACAATTTGGTTTACTATCCCAATCAAAAATTTACTAATGGCGCAGTACTGGTACCCAGTATTGGCGCCAGAGTTGGCGTAACTTTGGGATGATAACATTGTACCAGTATTGGCTGCCAGAGTTGGCACCAGTACTGGTAACCATTACTGGTTCAGTACTGGCTGAGTACTGGTAGTTTTGTAATTTCTTGTATACGAAAAGAAAGCTTTAACTGTAACAGAGATAAGTTTCACTGCAATAGTGAAATCTCTGCTCCAAGTAATACTTTTTTTTTGGAAAAAGTGTGTGAAATTTTTAGTAACCCAACACAAATTTAATATTAATTAAATTAGTCAACTAACTAATTAATATTTTATTATATATAAAATCGAAAACACCAGGAGTTTTTATTTTTTATTAAGTATAATATATATTGCAAATTATTATTTAAAAAAATCAAAAAATAAATATAAAAATATGTTTATTATAAAATCAAAGTTTTTATAATATATAAAAACAGTTCAGTAAAAATAAAAATGTTTATAAAATAATTATAATGTATATAATTATACAATTAGCTATTTAATTATTTTATTATTCACTTTAATTATTTGCATCAAAATAAATTTTTGAAAAAACTTTTTTAAGAAAATAAAAGTTGTTTTTTAATATTTAACAAGTGTTGTCAAGAAAATTTTTTTGAATTTTTATTTTAAAAATTATTAATTTTTTATAAAAAAATTTATTTATTTTTAATTTAATCGTTTTTAAATTTTTTTTGGTTAATTGCATATCTGAAAACAATAAAAAAAAACTTGCAAAATGTTTTGGAATTAGTCTCAGGAAACTTTTTGATTAAATAATTTTACCCACAAAAAAGCAAAATAAAATACCTTTCAATTTTTAAAAATAAAATCAAAGTAAAAAAAATTTTTATAAACAAAATATTTAAACAAAAAGATTTATCAGGTTCACTCTAGCACTTTTTGTAAACTAGACTATTAATCAAAAAGAAAATCTATTTGAGCCAGTACTGGCTCAATATCGGTGGAGTACTGGTTTGACAGTACTGAAAGGTTGGTACTGCACCAGTACTGATACTATGAAAATACCAGTACTGGTTCAGTACAGGCTGCCCAGCCTCTGCAGCCAATACTCAACCAGTACTGCGCCAGTAGTTAACTCTGGTATAATACTGAAATTTTTGGTTAGGATGTTGGGTCGTGATACCAAATGTTGAAAACCCTGCAATTCGCTTCATCTTATCCTCATTCGAGACCGTTGGATTCAATAACCATTTGCAGTGTTTTGAAATTCGACCAACTGGACACTATAATTTTAAAATGTACGATGATTTAATAGCTTTTTATCCAACTTTTCCACGTGTAGAGCTGATGGCAATATCTACGTGACTCATAAGCATTGGCTGTAAAGACTTTGAAACTGCTAAAAGTATATTTCTTGATACAAGAAGAAAATATACTTATTTTAAGATTATATTCTAAAAAAGTGATTCTAAGAAAATATTCTTAATATAAGAAGATTCTATTCTTAATTTAAGAATATATTCGTGGCGCCTATTTAAGTCTCTCATATTCTTAAAATAAGTTGAAAATTCTTAAAATTAGAATATCGTTTTTTCGGTGTTGAGCCTAAACATCTGATTCGTATATTTACAATGTAAACTTTAGGTGAGATTAAGGTTGTGAGTTTCTTTAGAGTTTTCATATTATTAAAAAAACATTTAAACAATTATTATTTATGCGCAGTATATTTCTGCAGTATGTAAGGCTGCGCAGTAAATTTTATTCAACTATTAACTGCAAGTTCTGCAACCTATATATATATAAATATACATCATTTTACATAAGAAAAATTTTGTTTAACTTATTTAATAATATTAATTATTAATTTTAACGTAACCTTGACGTAAGATTGCAGCAAGCGTACTTGAAACGTTACAGCAAGGTTAAATTTTAAGATCACCACAACTTAAAGCTTAGCTTACCGGAAGTTTAGGGTGTAAGATTACCTTCAGCTTATATATACAGTGTGATCTTGCTGTATAGCAGACATTCGCAACTCACCTTAGTCTCATCTGAAGTTTACACTGTAAGTTTATAAATCTGATGTTTAGGCTTAAGAGTAGCTTATTACAGTATAAGATATTGTGCTGTGTGGGAAATTTACTCTTAGCAAATTGCATATTTTAGGAAAGAATTAAAATTGTATCACCGTCATATTGAATTATCCTGAAATATGCAATTTTTTTTTTAAATAAATGTTTTGACAAAATAATTGTACTTTGGCACATAACAGGAATTCCTTATACTATAGTTTTGAGTTAACCACATAAATCCATCAATTATATGGTGAGAAAATCTACGCAACACATTTACGTGTGAAATCATAACAATTACATGACCTTAAATGTAGAGATTTTATTTATTTTTAAATAAAAGTATGCATTTATTATAGTCATTGTGCATTTTCATTATTCAACTGTTTTATAATAAATAATATCCTATAAGTATTATATGATAAGAAAACATTCAATATATTCAAGTGATTCTCAACGTGAACTTATATTTAAAGTATACGCAAAACTAATAACAATTATAATCAATAATGTTCGACTTGAGTAATTCAGTTTTCATTTTACGACGGCAACTCTCTTTCCCTTGATAAAAACCACACGTTCATAGGCTCAGATTTTCCTTTCATAGAAACGGGTCCTCTGTATTCTAATAAAAACTGTGGATCTTGATTTTCTGTCATACAAAGATATCTGAAATACAAAGAAATAATTTTAATGATTTCTAAATATTATTATTAATATTTTATGTGTCAGTGAAAGTTATAAAACAAAAAACTTTATTCGTTCTGGAACATTCTGAAACAATGGCATTTTAGTCACATATCCAGTAAAAAAAAATAATTGGGAGTAAGCGAAAAGAATTGGCGGTGACTTAAGCTCAATTTGGTTTTGCGTCTAAACCGAATTGGAACGTTACGGGGAATCCTTTTTTTCTTACCTTGAATTCTTTTCACCTGAATCGTTTGAATTTACGTTTATTGATTCGAGTTCGCATCATAAATGAAAAAGTGATTGATCTTAAGTGTAAAAATGCCATTTTCGCGCAGAACATCATAAAAGTGAAAGAGTTGACGGAGTTTTCTTAGGACCGCCTTTTTTGAAAAAAGAAAATGTTAATTTGAGTCTTGGTTTGAACATATGGTTTAAATTGTCACATCTAATGCACAATCGTCTAAACGTTCACAAGTCCAAGTTTATGAGGGTCCTAATAAACGACACATTACTGTATAATAAAAAATTAGAAATTTGTAAATATTATAGATAATTAATTTTAAACAATATTTTCGGAACCTGCAAATTATGACGATTCCAATGATACGAAATTGTTTTTTTGTAAAAATGAAAATGAAAAGTCATAAGTGTATTACGTATAAGTTTTAATTATTTAATAATAATTACAATAACGTAAATTGGATATCTACTTTTTATCAATTTATTAAAAAACTAGTTTTATTTAATAAATAATACTTAGCAAAAATTGACATTAAATTAAACCAAATTACATTACATAAAAATTAAAAATTTATTCCTTACTAATTCATTATTTATAGTTTATAGTTTGTAACAATGTGTAATTTTTAAAATTTACATGATTAGAATTATACCTAACTATGTAATTGTAATTTTATAAAAGAAATCACCATTTTTTGATAATTATACCTTCGTAATTTATACGTATTTAACAAAAAATTAATTATATGAAATAAAAATTACAAATTTTTTCCTAACTAATTAATTTTTTATTTCAATTTATTTAATTATTACTTTTTAACAATGTGTAATTATCAAAATTAACATAGAATAATAAATAACTTTAATTTGTAAAAAGAATTATTTTTTTTTGATAACAGTTATTAATATATATTAATAATAATTTATTAATCTTTTAACCTAAAGAGTTAAAATCATTTTTGTATTTACTTCCGTTTTATTTTTACATATTTCGATTTGCAAAACGAGATACTCGCGAAGTTCGCTCGGATAGTCGAGAAGTTTGTTTTATTGAAACAAAACAAACTATATTCTCGGTTGTCAAAATTAAAAAGTCCGATTTTCTCGCCCGTTTCTCGGATCGTCTTGCTCGTATTCATCACTAGTTCAGCAGTAAAAAAGTAACCGCATCAGTTGTAAGTATACTACTTATTCAAATAAGTGAAAATTGATGAATCAGTGAAATTCCACTGATTCAGATTAAGAGAGTGGAACATTTTAAAGTCATTTTACTCAATCTTCCTAAAAACCAATGATAAGAAAAATACTTCTCAAAAAATTAAATTTATTTATCTACCTAAATAACACAACATATGACTACAATATGTAGAAAATTATTAATATTATAATTATTAAAAGAAACGAAATTTCTATACTCAAGACGAATTGATATATGCAATGTTTTTAGAAGCCTTTGAACTGCGTATCGAGCTTATAATCAAATTACCCCGTCTTGTTGCGTACATCCGATATTTTGTAGCAAAGTACGCTCAAAGGTGAATGATCAGTGTGAAGACTATGAGCAAAAAATGGAAGTGTTAATTGACTGCTATTTCGATAAATTGTTTTCCGAAATGGAACGAAGTTGTCTTGCGTCCCGATATAAACGTCGCCAACTTGTTAAGTTCTTTTCTGATGTTATTGAAAGTTGTTTTCAAGGTAATAAATAATCCAAACATTGGTTTTATTATTTAATTACACTAAAGTAGTACATATATAGATTCAAGTAGTTGGGACATTCATTTATATTGATATTTTAATGCAATAATATTTTACACTTGAATTATCACTTGCTTAATTAAATCATCAAATTCAATTTTGAAATGACGAACTTTAAAGTATAACTTAAATATAACTGTGACGAGTTTCTTTTTTTACTCAGTAATTTAATACTGTAACCCGTTACTAAAAAAGTAACTTACTAATAAGACATGTATTTATGTGGAAACTGATATTATGATAATTTTTGTAAATTAAATGGTGTTATATGTGACCTCAACCATTCAGTATTCAAACTTTATTGAAAAAAGTAATTTAAATAATTTTTGTAGCTGAGGATCTAGACAAGCAAGATGTTTGTGAGCGAATCGTTCAAGCTGGATTACGATATCACAACATCGCAATGATGGAAAATGGATCAGTGTGCTTGCTGGGTAAATTTCACAACGTTCTATATGTGGTAGGAAAATTGTGTTTTGATTGGAAACTATCAAATAATGAAGTTGTGTCGCGTCTGCTAAATGATATATTTTATTGTGAGCGAACATTTGAGAGAATTTTAGTTGGGGCAATTTTTGGAATTCGAGTAACACATTTTCTTTCGGGTTGGAAAAGCGATTATGAAGATCGAGATGAAAACATCAATGCTTTAATATATTTTTTGGATCACGCAACCACAGCAAAACTTGAATACAGATGTGCCTCATCTATTTTAAAAAGACGATTCATCGACGTTCCCATGGAATCTTATGGTCAAGTTCTTCCTTTGAGGGTAGCAGTTCAATCTGGCTCTCCCGATATACTTCAGATTATGCTGCGATACGGTGCTTCCACAGAGGGTGATGCATTCGCTCCAGCTCCAATCGAAATATTACTTTCGAATTTGGATGAGTTCCAAGTGTCCAAAGAAAATCAATTAAAACCTGTTTATCCTGATAATCTTATAATCTGTCTGAAAATTTTATTGAGGACAATTCCAATGGTTACAGTCAAGACTCCACATCATGTGGCAAATCAAAGCGGTGTTATGCACTTAACATTGTATGAACAATATCCTAATCTCATCGACAGCAACTTGGTTCCAGCAGAAAGAAGTGGACTTGTTCCTCCAGAACTCAAACATTTATCGAGGTGCCGAATACGAGCTGTTCTACATGAGACATGGCAATTGCCTCACGGAATTAGAAAACTTCATATTCCGCAATCACTCATGGATTATTTGGATTTGCTAACTGATTAACACGTTCATTAACAAAAATTTTATACATTTCATGTATAATAAAAATATAAATCTCTCAAGTCCAGGTGCATTCTTTACACTATAGTTATCAAGTTGTTAGCGTTTTTAAAATATTGTGCGTAAGATTCCGTATGTGTGAATTGTCGTAACCCGTGTAGAAATTTTGCCATGGCTCGGATCGGGGCCGAATCGGACGAGAATGTGACGCTACGCCTGATGTGCCCCTGATTAGGAAATGCACATTTTCTCGTGGCCCTGAACTGTCCCTGATCGGGACCAGATTATTATTCACTACCAGAGCCCTGGTAGGGAAATTTTTACACGGAAAGTCTCGATTCAACCGGTTAGTGCCCACACAGAACTGAAGATTCAATAAAGGTTTAAACGTTAACTTGGGAATATTGAATCGCAAAGTTCAGAAAAGATTATTTGAATATTAAAATGTCCGCCATAAATAAATGTTTAGACCGAAACTTGACTGAACATGTAAATTACATATTCGTCAAATGTTAGGCGTGCAAAGTTGAATGAACATTTCAATTAAATGTTTAGCGCTAACTTTTTTTTACGGAAATCAATTAATATTTAAATACACATTGCTCATCATATTTAGGAGCCAAAAAATGTAGGTATGTATGTTTCACATGCTGACATTTTAAAATTCAAACAATCTTCTCTGAACTTTGCGATTCAATATTCCCAAGTTAACGTTTAAACCTTTAATGAAACTTTCAGTGCTGAGTGGGAAGCGATCAGTGTATGTTAAGGCATGGTCGAAACGAGATACTAAAAGCGTTCTGTGAACAAATCTTAATGTTATAACTGTACTACACTTTAAGTGATTTAACATTTCTTTAATATTTAATAAATATCTTTATACTATTCTTTTGTCAATCTTGGGACTTTTATTTCATCTAACCTGGCGCAGATTCGTAGTCTTCATTTATATAAAAGTTTTCAACAAAATAACAAATTCTATTAAAGGCATTTTTTACAATTCATTCGAATTTCTATAAATATGCAAACATATGGAACAGCTTTTAGCTTTTGCTTTCACCTTTAAACATATTATTATCCGACACAGTACTGAAACTTTCCTGAAACTTGACAGCATCTGTGTGCCATCAAGTTTGGGAATATGTAGTTGCAATGTTCAGGAAAGTTTGTGAAGACCTTTAAATATTTTCAATTTTATTTGATGCAGGAAAGTTTCAGTGCTGTGTGAGATGTATATACATTTTTTAATATATTTACGAATATGAATTTGATGTCATATTAAAATAAACAATATAGTAAATTTTATGTAGTGTTAAATATAATTTTTAATTAAATTATTTAATTATAGTAAAATACTTGTGAAGAAGGAAAAACAATAATATAAGGATCGAGTGCAATGTACGGAAATTTTTGTATTTTGCATCAAAAAATGTATCTTTAAAAATTTCATGTTTGTTGTATTTAATATACGTTTATGATGCGAATTTACCCAAACATGTGCCTTTAAAAGTAAATAATAACGTTTTTGACAAAATATTAACACACTGGAACGTCATAAGAAATTCTTATATTACTTCTGACTTTTCCACAAAATTTCATATTGTCATGAATAAAAATGTGACTCCCTCATTAAGACATTCAAGTGAATGTAAGTAAATTAAATTTACCTGTAAGCATCTTCGGAGACATTAATTTTTCCTGGTTCTCCAGTTGTTTCAGTGCGACTTGTCAGATTAACAGTATTACCAAAGAGGCAGTATCGTGGCATTCGATGACCAATTACACCTGTGACCACTTCACCGCTGTGAATTCCGATAGTAATTTTCTGCAAATTGAATATGATAGTACTAACAAAAATAAATATTCTATTTCTAAGAAATAATTAAATAATCAAAGGGTCTACACGGAAAAAACAAACTAACTATATTTTAGCACCAAACTGCTTTATCCTTTAATAGTATATAATTTCGTTTACCTATTAAAGTATGAAATAATACTTTTTTAGTTTAGAGTAAGTCCATACTAAATAAGTATAATGGTTATACTCTTATAGTAATAGTGACGTACTTTAAAAGCATAAAATTGATGCCCGCGAAGTACGACATATAGTCTACCTAAAATAGCAAGGCAAGAGCTTCTTCCTTTTTGGTGGATAAATTCTTGCAACCTGCGTTTTGGCCACGCCTACCTCCCTTTCCAACCATCGATATTTCGATATATCGATATAGGCCAAAACGCAGGTTGCAAGAATTTATCCACCAAAAAGAAAGAAGCTCTTGCTATTTTAGGTAGACTATATGTCGTACTTCGCGGGCATCAATTTTATGCTTTTAAAGTACGTCACTATTACTATAAGAGTATAACCATTATACTTATTTAGTATGGACTTACTTTAAACTAAAAAAGCATTATTTCATATTTTAATAGGTAAACAAAATTGTATACTAATAAAGGATAAAGCAGTTTGGTGCTAAAATAGTTAGTTTGTTTTTTTCGTGTATAATGACCGTTTTCTTCAACTTAAATTAAACAAAAGCACAGGTCAAGTAGTTTTTCTCGGAGAATAGAAAAGCCTCTCCACTCAACGATTATAGAGAGGTTCAGAGATTCCACTCCTCTTCTAGCGAAATAATTTTATGTGTGGTAGATTCACATGTTCAAATGTAGTTCTGAGCAAAACGTGATTAAAGTTTTTAAGAAAAATAAAACATTGATTGAAAAAGTACATTGTGTGGCAAGGGCGGAAAGTAGTCAATTTCTGACCGAGTGTGAATTTTTCCGCACGAGGTAAGGAATTTACCTTTCCGCCCGTGTTGCACACGATGTTTTTTTGTCCAATTGCACGATAAACAAGACGCTTAAGGAAGTAAACTGGAGTAAAACCAAAGACGAAATATTGAATGTTAAATATACTGGATATATTTTTATTATGTTTGAGGGGAATTTATATTAATTATTTAAAAATACTCAACTTGAAAAATGTGTCTTAAATAACCTAGAAAATTACTTTCCTTGAGTAGCAGGCGGAAAACATTTTTTCCGCCCGCTATTAGTGGTTGGGCGGCAAAAGCCTACTTTCCGCTGGCGGTACCTGCACGGAAAGTCGCTTTTATCGTGCATGTAGGACAAAACAATTTTTTTTCCCCCATTGACATAAAAAATTTACTTTTTACTACCTGTTTCGGATCGATAAAATTTCGCTTTTTAAGGCAATTCTTGTCAACCACCTAAAACAGACTTTATGGCAGTTTACTGCCCAAAAAAACAAATTAGTTATTTATGAGACAAGGGCGCAAAAGTAGGGGAATCAAGACTCGTGAGAGATTCGTGACAATCGCACGAATTGAGATTCTCTATTTGCACCCATACTCCATACCTAATTTTGTATAACATTTTGCATAAAAAACTCGACTAAATTGCTACTGTCATGGTAAGAAAACGTGTGCGTAAAAGTATGATTTTCTCTCCTTTTAAACATTAGTACTTATAAAACTGAGTTTTTGACGAAAGGTGTTATAAAAAGTAATTTTTAGGTTCAAATAAGATTTCAATACTCCCTGCCATTGCGACTTCGGTTCGACTCGGTTCACCTTCGTCTCACTTTCGTTGCAATGACGACTGATAATGAAAAACTCATCCTCACCTAAAAAGTCTGTTGCTTTACGTGCATGTCACATAATATACTATTAATACACAGAATCATCGATTACAGGCCCATAAAATAAGTCCTCAACTGATTCAAGAAAGTCCAATATGACACCTTGTTGATCTCTTTCAATTTTGCTTGAATTGATCCGCAAGTTCGGAACACATGTTTGTGTTGTACTTTAATATAAAAAAAGTTTAAATAAATTTTTCAAATTGAAAACTACGTATGACGTCTTACTGTTTATAATTCCCAATTTATATAAATCGTGAAACGCACGCTCTATTAATAGTCGGGTAGCAACTAGCGTAAATGGCTCACTCGCTGATACCAGACTACAAGAAAAGTTTTCATATTTAATATTATTTTGAAGGTTTTTAATTAAAAAGTAAATATTAATTACCACTGGTTCCCCGTCTATTTGTACTTCATCTGCTGCTAAATCCATCATATCTAGAGCTAATCGAGCTATACATCTAGCATGGGAGCGACAGGGTTCTGGTAAGCCGCTTACAGCCATATATTTGTCTCCAACTGTTTCCACCTAAAATATTAAGACACTTTTTCTCAAAATATAAACTTGATCTTCTAGTTCAGATTTTTTCATTAAGTGTAGAATTACTTCTGGTTCAGTATTGGCTGCCGAGACTGGGCAGTCTGTACTGAACCAGCACTGGTATTTTCATTGTATCAGTACTGTTACAGTACTGGCAAACCAGTACTGAGCCGATATTGAGCCAGTACTGGCTCAAATAGATTTTCTTTTTGATTAATACTAGTTTACAAAAAGTTCTAGAGTGAACCTGATGAATCTTTTTGTTTAAATATTTTGTTTATAAAAATTTTTTCACCTTGATTTTATTTTTCAAAATTAAAATGTATTTTATTTTGCTTTTTTGTAGGTAAAATTATTTAATCAAAAAGTTTCCTGAGACCAATTCCAAAACATTTTGCAAGATTTTCTTATTGTTTTCAGATATTCAATAAACCAAAAACGATCAAACTAAAAAAAAATAAATTTGTTTATAAAAAATTTATATTTTTTAAAATAAAAATTTTAAAAAATTTTCTTGACAACACATGTTAAAAATCAAAAAATAACTTTTATTTTCTTAAAAAAGTTTTTCAAAAATTCATTTTTATGCAAATATATATGTGATTAAAAATATAGATATACTTTTGAAAAAAACTTAAATTTAAAAAAAAAAATTACGTATACTTTTATTTCTCAGAACTTTGGTTTTATAATAAACATATTTTTATATTTATTTTTTGATTTTTTAAAATAATAATTTGCCATATATATTATAAAGAAAGAATAAAAATTCTTAGTGTCTTCGATTTTATATAATAATATATTAATTAGTTAGTTTAGTAATTTAAATAATATTTAATTTGTAATTCCGTATACAGTAAATTACAAAACTGCCAGTAATCAGCCAGTACTGAACCAGTAGTGCTTACCAGTCCTGGTGCTAACTCTGGTAGCCAATACTGGTAAAATGTTATTATCCCAAAGTTACGCCTACTCTGGCGTCAATACTGGGTGCCAGTACTGCGCCATTACTTGTCAGTTCTGCGCCAGTACTACGCCAATACTGAACCAGTACTGCGCCAATAGTGAACTCTGGTATATTACTGAAATTTTTGGTTGGGTATTTATCTTTTAGAATAAAAAATGAGTTTGGTTTTTATTTTATGCAATTTTAGTTGCTACTGTGATTTTAATCACAATATAGAGAGAAACAAGGCATTTTATGTGTAATGTCCTGAGTTAAAAAATTGATTTCTCGAAAAAAAGTAAAACTTAAGAAATTGTTGTCCTACCTGATAGTAAAATATCCCCAAAAAAATTTTTGACTTTTTTGAAATTTTGGGGGAGATAGAGGGGGGTCAATTTTATCAGTTTTCCCTGACACCGCCTAGTATTTGAATTTTTTCGGTCTATAAATGCTATAAAAAAAATTTTGGCAGATATGTTTTTAAAGGTTTTTTCATGCTCTTTCCAATAGTGAATTTCGTTTTAAAAAATTTTTGAATTTTGACCTTTATTTTCTATAATTAAACATAAATTTGCTATTTTCACTAAAATCGTAAAATCGATGCGTTTTTTTCAAATAAATAAAGGTTTGTGTTAGTGGAACAGTGGGACACCTATTATTAAATACCGAATAATTATTTCAATAAAAATATTCTGCTTCATACTTTGCAAATATATATTTTTTTGCATTAAATAACGTTAACAAATGTTGCAAAACACTCATAATTTAATAATATTTTACATTTTTATAATACGATGTCAAGTTTCATATGAAAAATGACCCAAAATACTTTAGAGAAATAAATATATTATATTAAAATCAGGAACTATCACAAAATATTTGTGTCGTATCGGGATACTACACAATTAGCAATACTGAAGACGAGTATCGTGTCGTGTTTTTTGTTATTTACATAGAAAGACACGATTCTCCAATCACTAATCGCGTATGTTATGTCGCGATATGACATTTGCGCTTTTTCTTCTTCTTTTTTATGTGTCGGTCCCCGATAAAAATATGTACCTTATAAACATTTGGATTCTTTTTTGGATCCGTAAGAACATCAAAGGCTATATACAGTCGATTGAGCATATCAACAATTTTCATAGCACCATTGGAATCTGTATGAGCGGAGCAGTAAGCAGAAAATCCAACGATGCCGGAAAATAAGAGTGTCACACAGTCATACTTCCTAGCTGGAATAGGTCTGGAATGTCTCAACTCGTTTGCCACGGAAATGGGAAGTACCGAGTACAGCAACCTATTCGTTTAAGATTGACACCATTAGTTTCCGCAAGTGTTGCAATAATTAGATGTAACGTCATTTCCACGTTACTGAACATATAAAAAACTATAACTTCTCTATGTGCATATACAGTGCCGCTCAGTAGAATTTGCCCACTCTAAAGAATTTTAGGAGTTGCAAAACGCTCTTTATTTTTATTAAAACAATATAAAATGCCATTTTTTAAAGCATATATCCTCTACTTTTAGAATATCTAAAAAGTAAATTAAAAAATTAGTATATTACGATACTAGGCCAGAAAGTTGGATTTCCTGGCGGGCGAAATATATAGAGCAAAAAAATGTGTCGAACTCAAAAATCTGAACATAAGAAAGGAGCAATGCGAATATAACTGATGGTTAAAACGGCCTGCTCATCATTGTGAATTAACCTTATACACTTTGACATATTTTCTTGGCAAGATCCACCAACCTGTTTCTATCGGAGGGTGGGCAAAATCTACTGAGCAGCACAGTAATATATATACATATATATGGCTGATTCTCCACGTAGCGTACAATATGGTTTTTGTTATTATAGAATTTTTTTTCCGGACAATTAAAATTAAAATCATATAACTTTCAAGTATGTTAGTCAAGAATAAAATATCTGATGTAATGGGCCGGACAAATTGTTTATAATTTTGGTATATTTTAAACAAATTAGATGTAAATACATCCATGTAATATAATGAGCTTTGTAGTACTTAATAAAAATTTGAAATAATTTTTAATATTATAACAAACAAAATTTAAATATGAAAAATATAATTTTGGAAATTTATTGTAATTTATGCGATAATTTATGAAATTTTTGAGGAAATTTATAATAATAATACAAACAAAATTCAAGATTCAAAAATTATTGCAGAAAATTTACGTGGTAATTTAAGGAAATTTGTGCGGTAATTTATGAAAATTTAATGGAAATATATGTTGTAATATCATGAATTATTATTTTTAAATAATTTAAATAAATTTAAATACATTTTTTTAACATCGTAATTTTTAAACATCAAATTCAATGAAAGACGGCCAAAAGGATTCCTCAAATGATGCTGAGGCTTTCCCATGACGCACAATTAATAATGTTTTTTTAAAGAAATAAATTATAAGCAATTTTCAATCCGTTTCGCATTTTTGTCATTTATACTACTACATATTAAATTTAATAAAAAAAATTTTATTTCAATCAATCATAAAATTAGTTTCTATCGTAGATAATCGCTTGAGGGAACTCTATCTTGCTGCTTATTATGCTAAAATATAACTAAATTCTGATTTGATTTTTATAAAATGTTTCAATTTTTTTAAAAAGCTTCTCCTTGATGCACAAAACTGGGGACAAGAATTAACATCGAAAAAAAGATTTTAAAAAATAAATTTTTTTAACAACCACTTTTTTTTCTTAATTCTATAAACTTGGTCAATAAAAAACTGTTACCAATAATTATTTTTATTATTGTATATTGCTAAAAATATTTATTTTTGTTTTTTAAAAACCGGCTTCCCTATGATGGTTTGTCTCTTTAATTTGCATTTTAAAAATAATATCTAAATCTGAATTAGCGACTATTCGCTTTGAATTAACGACTATTCGTTTATTCGTATAGCACAGAGTATGCGAATAGCGAATAGTCGCTGATTGCTAGCGAATAGTCGCTATTTTTATCAAATATAGAGAGTAAAGTTACTTTTTCACGTTTGATTTATTATACAATATATATAATTTATTTCTTAAAAAAAAACCAAGGGACATGGAATTGTACGCTTCGTGGACTCTCTTAATTTGATTTAGTATAAGTATACCACTTATTGAAATCAGGGAAAATACACTGATGAATCAGTGAAAAATTAATACACTGCGATAAGCAGTAAAAATTCACTGAGTAACCAGTTATAAGTGTACCACTTATTCAAATAAGTATACAACATGTGGCCACAATATTGTGTCAATATTGCCGATATTTCCTGGCAATATTTAGACATTATTGCTATAGGCCATACTTAAGCAATATTCCCTCAAGGCGGACATAATCAATGTTGTAACAATATTGTGGCCATATATATATATATATATATATATATTAGAGCTGTGCAAGTTTTTAAAATTCGAACCGCTCCATAAGAATTAACATATGGGCTCGAATCGAATATTCGATCCGAGCCCATACAAAATTTGAACTTTTGCACAGCTCTAATATATATATATACCCAGATAACACACGTACTAGTACGGTAGTAGTATAATACTAGTACGACGTACTAGACGTACTAGTACTGTACCAGCCATGTACCTTCGCACGGCACCAGGTACTGTACTAGTACGGCGTACCGGTATGCAATATCGGTAGAATACGAGTACTATACGAGTACGACGTACTGAAAACTTTTGTGACTTAGTATAACGTACTGTTATTGTACTGGTACAATACTAGTATGATGTACAATATAAAATATTATATACCCTCCCCTTTCTCTTCCCACAATAGTATTTTCATTATTTTCATTTATTATTCAAAAGAAAATCTGTGGGAGAACTGAAATAATAATAATTCATTTTTATTGAATCATTTTTTTTATTTACATCATATATGTAACTTGTATTCTCACTTATCTTAAAATATCTGGTGTTTTATATTATTTTAATTACTTAACTTTATCAAATATTAGTTGATTATTTCTTTACATTTAAACATTATTTCAAAAGAATTTTAAACTTGATGTTATAAATTGCTTTGAAAAACATATTATCACATCCTAACCTATAAATATGTTATATGTATAAGAAAAACTATAACGAAATAACACACAATTGAATTTAAAAATATATCAATATGATCAAGACCGAATTTATGAATTTTTCTCATTATAAATGTAAAAGATTTTGATGTTTTTCAATGAAATAACACCACGGCACCATGTCAAAGTAAAAGAATATAAATCTTATAAAGATCGATGATTTAATATAAATTTAATCTCGGATATTCAAGATAAGTACAGAAGCACAAGTTACAAACGTTAATACTCTTTTGCTGCATCATAAACCACTTTTTTCACCAACATTTATTGCACCGTTTTCAGTGACGCGTTCATATTTGACAATTGTCAAGAAAGTGAGGTTGGGTTGGCATTACCAGCAAAGACTCCCAGTACGACGTACCAGTATTATACTTGTATCGTACAAGTATGTTGTGCTTCTTATTTCAGAAGTACGACGTACTGGTATTGTACTAGTACTATACTTTTATCGAGTAATCATATTTTACAATTCTAACAGTACGACATACTTTTATTGTACTAGTACCGTACTGGTACGACATATATCATTATTTTGTACTTGTATAAAACTAGTATAATACTAGTACGCCGTACTCGTAAATAACGATTAGTACGCTTGGTTATCTGGGTATATATATATATATATATATATATATATATATATATATATATATATATGTTGTAATATTTGGGCAGAAATTAATTCAGAAATGTTCACAACTAAATATACAAATTTTACAATAATTACCTATCAGTCTTTTGTTTTTCTCCATCAAGTTCTCTGTAGGTTTGCTGTAACTTGTCTGTAAGCAACTCCAAATTTCTGGTAAGCTTATAATCAGCTTCAAATTGTTCTGACATTAAAACTAAATCTCTAGTGGCGTCATGGAGTGGAATGTCGCTTAAATAAAGTCCTCTCCTACAAAAAAAATGCTTTTTATAATCATTATTCTATTCAATTACGAAAGAAATGGAACACTTGCTCTATTTTGAAAAATATTTTTATCAAATAAAATTTTACTTATGTGTTGCGTGGGCAAATGTTTACTAATATAGAAAGAAAAAGAATGCCGCTGACAATAACAACTTAATATTTTTGTGCGATTTTTGACCATTTTTCGAGGATATTTTTTCCAGTGATAATATTCAAGAACGGAGTTTTGCATATAAATATTCAATTATTTGTACTCTACAAATAAACGGAAAAAATTTCTGTATATGTGTGTACTAACATCCCATTTGCCTCAATACTTCAGGAACCAAATACTATTCTGATTTTTTTAAACTGTGGATATCTCTGGGAGACACGATACAGGCGTATTTTGAGCCCGATTAATCAAATTTAACTATTTTATTTTTGCCTTTTGCATTTTAAAATTTTCAAAAAAACGTCTTCACTCTTAATTTAAATCAGTGAAATAGCTAGAAGTCGGTTACTGAATATCACTGATTTGCAGTAAAAATTCCACTAAATGAATTAGTTAATCTGTTTTACCCTTTACCGATAATACAGATTGATTGGTTTATTTAGTGAAATTTTCCCTTGAAATCAGTGATATATGACTGATTTTCAGTGAAAATTTCACTAAATGTTTCAGTAACCGACTTCTAGCTATTTCACCAGTGAAATTTTCCTGATTCAAATAAAGAGTGTTGGGACTATAACTGAGCCGCCGGAAAGTAAAAGGGCGTATAAAATTAGTACGGCCGTTCGAGTTGGCCGGCCGTGCAAATTTTATGCTCCCTTTTACTTTCCGGCGGCTCATCAACTTTAAAAAAAAAAGTATTATCACCCTATAGATATTTTTCATTTAATTTTTCAAGCTTATGAAGATGCATCGATGACCTATTTTTAAACATTTACATGACGGAATTATTAATGTTTCAAAAATAAAAAATTTTGAAACATTTGACTATTTTGCATTTTTTACTTGAAAATTCAAAAAAACACAGGAAGCAAAGTGTTCATGAAATGACGACAAAACAAATATAAATCTGTGAGGAAGCAATATGCACTCTTAAAAGTAAAATCATCAGTAATATATCTTGGCAGCGGTTTCATTATTTATAGTGAAAGTATGTAATATATTACTTTCACATGAACTATTATTAATAAGTACTTTAATAAAAATCTCATAGAATTAGCCAGAACTATAGTTAGAAGTTTGACTAAAAATTTAGTTCATTTGGACATTAACGACATTACGTGTGCACTTGCTATCACATTACAAATGCAGGTTATCGCGAGCAACAGGCTTCATAATGAAGGTAATCCAATTAAGCGTAAATTTGTTTACTAACTCCTACTATAGCTTTTAGTGGGATGAGCTCTGCGGGGAGAGCCAACTAAAACGGAAATAATGTATGGATTAATTATTCCATCCGCTCTACTCTGTTCGTGTTTGTGAGTCGATTGATATGCATACGTAATAGTCACAACGCCATCATTTAAAGTTTCTCATCTCTATTCATAGATAAAAAGGGTGAAATTCAAATATGTGTCATGTATACCGATTAGAATTTTCTTCCTCGCCTCCTACGAAAATTAATATAATCATTTATACCCAGATATTAAGACATATATAGAAAGATGTGTATTAGCAGAATGGATACCGCGTTTTCAATACTATAACCTCATCATTTTAATTCATTTTATAAAAGTCTTAAAAAGTTACCTTGTTAAGTCATCAAGATTCATCACACTAGGATAGCATAGAAAGATAACCAAATCAGTCTCCGGTATGTACAACATTTGACCCTAAAAATTTTTTAACTTTTAGTAGTATAAAGTTTATTACATCTACACTGAGAGAAGTTTAACGCAACATCTGCATCTTTTGAGGGACAGATATTGTACCACAATTATGTGCAGACGCAGTACTAAAATCGAACAGCAGCAGCGCCAATTAAGTACTGATTCTGACCTAACTTGTGGGACAAACGATTTAGTACAGTATCTGTCCACCAAAAAGCGCAGCTGCGATACAATTTAGAACCGATGTTGCTCGAAAGGTTAGGTACACTATCTGAACGTGTGTTTAGTACGAAATCTGTGTTTAACTTCTCTCAGTGTAGGCTACCCAGCAAAAAAGAATGTATTATAAGAAATTGAAAAGTATTTAAGCAATATTTTTGATTACAATCGCGCGCGAATGGATTCAATGGAAATTATCAGGCGTACAGTGCGCCTAAAGTATCATGTTTTTGCGATACACACACTGTATACGCCAAAATTTTTCCAGTGCAACACTTGTGAATTATTAACAGTGTTACACTGCAAAAAATTTAATGGCAACTGGAGTTAGGAGTAAAATTTTTCAAATTAAAAATCAACTTCAAAAGTGAGTTAACATTAGATTAACTCTCTTAACGCATTAATTCCGTACATTGCAAAAAGAAGTACGGGCGACCGGGGTTACTTGGCGCACTTTTCAGTCTTTGTTATGTAACTCACTTATTTTTGCTTTTTTTAAAAAGTTATTGTATAGAAAACTTGTTTAACATCTCAGCTTTAATTTAAAAAAAAGAAAGTTGCATTATATTTAATACTTTTCTTTTTTTAAACAATATGAAACTTAACAAAATAAGTCTTGTACTGTAATTTTACAATAAATTAAATTATTGAAAAAATCATCAAATTTCATTTAAATTAAAAAAATATTTTCTATAGAATCGTAAAATTATCAAAAAATATTCATATAATTCAACTTCATTTAATCATTTTATTAATATTCAACGAAATTTTCAGATAACCGCGCCACCTGACCCCGAATGTACTTTTGATATATTTACTAATTTTTTATAAAAACAGTTAATATAAATCAAACAATTCTTTTTCTTTCTTAAAAAGAAATGTAAACAGCTCAAAACTTGATATTTGACTTCTTCTAAAAGTAATTTTTTAAAGAGATTTCACAAAAAAATGAAGAGGTTAAAAAATTACTTTGACGTACTAAAATCAGTTATTTGAATCTATACTCCACAATAATGAATGAATATTAATGAAATTTTGTACAAACTTACAATTTATCAAATACTTTAACTTGAATGAAGAGAAAAGTTAATTTAACTTAACACTTATAAATAAACTCAAGTGCGCCAAACGGCCCTGCTCACACAGCACCGAAAATTCCCCTAAGGTTCATTGAAGGTTTAAACGTTAACTTCACTGCAAAAAGAAGTGTCTTAATATAAGATGTTTTAGTAGTCACTTTTAAGACGGTTTGGTAGTATCTTTTTAGTTATTTAAAGTGTCATATTTTAAGATGTTATAATAGGAATAAAGCATCTAAAATATAATATTAACATTTTATTCTAAGATGGAAGCGAATGGAAGATACCATTTCCATTTTAACATCTTGTTTTAAGATACTAAGATAAGATACCTATTTTTGCAGTGTTGAGAGTATTGAATAGCGGGGTTTAGAAAAGAATGTTTAAATATTAAAATGTCCGCATGTGAGTAAATGTTTAACTTTTTTAAATTTCGCGTTAAACATTTACTCACATACGGACATTTAAATATTTAAACAATCTTAAAATACATTGCTGTTACTTTTAAAAGATTTAAACATCTTCTATAACCATCTTATATCTCAATAAAATATAGTGCTAATTAAATAGTTACTTTTAAACGTAAACTTGAATACTCTTCTGATTCTTCAAACTTCATAATTCCTTTCTTTGTTCGCAAAACATAAACAGTGTTTATGTGGGACAATATGTTCTCAAAAGTCAACTCTAAATGTGGTCTTACCTGAAAATGAAATTCAACATATTTTTTAGTATATAGTCTATTAGAGTATTTGTTATATTTCCCAGTGGGTAAAAAACCTTGTTCGTTCTAAAAACAAATATGTCCGCCAAATAAGGTTCTAAAACATTTTAAGAACATGGATGTTCAAATAATGTTCTAGAACATTTTTTTGCTGATGTTTTAAGAAAACTCAAAACGTTTTAAGAACGTTTTTGGTACGAACATGGTTTTTTGTTCGTCTTGTTACATGCCAGAAATATTTTAAACCTGCAATATCTATGTGCTATATTTAAAGATATATGTTCCCGTTTTGATCTGAGATGAACATCTTTATTGAATTCAAATTATTTTATTTAGCAATTTCATATTTAGTACATCAGCAGAAAATTTAAAAAATTAAAAATAATCAGATTTGCAAATAAAAATAATATGATGCACATCAAGCTAAATAGCACAAAATAGTTCCATAATATTTCAATTGCAGTAACATTAATTTTGTCCGCCATGTGAGAATATCACAGAAAAAACCTGAACTCAAAATGATAGCGTATGCTACTCATTTTGATATGCAGCAAAAATGAGTCAGGTTGGTGGCGCCACTGTCTATGTCGTTTAGCATTGACTCATTTTTGCTGCATATCAAAATGAGACTAAATTTTTTCTGTGATTGCACGGCAATATTGTGCCAAAATGTTGTGCTAATTGGTGATTCAAACAGCTACACTAGCGCCACAGTTGAACTAACGTAACCTTGACTCGCTCTAAAGCAGTCTCTGTTTTGACAGTTTATTTCAAATTATTTAATTATTCTGATATTTTTATTGCGTTTGTAAAATAATTTTTAAGCGTTAAATAAAAAAAAATAATTTAAAACACATGGAGTGCTACAGAGCGAGTCACGCTTAAGTCAGTTCAACTGTGGCGCTAGTGTAGCTGTTTGAATCGCCAATTGGGAAGGAATGGAAGAAAGTAATTGAAATTTATAATTACTTTGAAGAAATATTAAATTTGTCTGTTTAGAGCACAAATTCTACGTCCCTTACAATACAGGATATTGTCTATAGATATATTCAAATCACGTCCCCTTTTAATGCAGAAATATAATCTTGGGTATACAATGGATATTCCATAAAATATCACAAGGGAGGGGACGCTTTATATTATGATGGATATCTATGGTTACAGGATATTAGGATGTTACAGGGATATTTGTAGGAATAATATAATAACACTTTCTGACAGTTTAAAAATATATTCTCAAATATACGTAAAATTCATCAAAGTTACCGGGCTCAATCAAATGAGTAAAAGAAATTTATTGTTTCCTCCATGAGGAAGCAAAATGTTCATGATCAAAATTTGAACCAATTTATCAACAAGACATTTTCTCTACATAACTTACGGTTGAAAGGATATCGTTCAGCTTACATATACCACTGGCAACCTGCGGTATAACACGCGTGACTGTGCAGCCTGTTTGTACTATTGTCAGATTACGATTAAACATCAGATGAAAAGGAAACACTCTGCAGAATGTAACTGGACTGACTTTTGGTTCTGTAATCATGATATTATTATTATTTTCTAAAATATTTTATTCCTTTATTTCACTATTCATTTTATGTCCTTGTAAGAAGGTATAGGATTATTAGTTACTGTTTATTATGGCTCGATTTTTTTCTCCGTGCAGTCAAATATTTTTAAGTTGTTATTGAAAATTTTTTTAAAATATAGTGCAAGATTATAGTTCAAACGTATGTAGCAAATTTGGTGCAAATATCAAAGTATCTTCTTACGGCAAGATTGCAGGGAAAACGAGGGGGAATTTACTCAGGTAGTCAAGTGTACACTCTTCCTGTAATACTTGTGTAATATCGTGTAATACCGTGTAATAATGCGTTATTACGGTACTGTAATAACGCAAAAAAGTCTGTAATATCTCTGTAATAATGTGTAATACTCTGTAATAACGTGTAATACTTAGTAATAAGGGTAATATGAGGTGTATTACTGGTAGTCAAGTGTACACGTTTTTAACTAGTAAATTCCCCCTCGAGGGAAAACTTGGCACAATCTTGCTGCAAGTTTGCAAAGCTTCATACGATACGCAATTGTAAACAGAAGCCCCTACTTTTTTAACTTCCAAAGCAGGGCGACATTCATGTTTATTTATACCTGATAAATTGTTTTTAGAAAATTTTCTTTTTAATATCATACAAGCTTACAACAGGGCTTTTCGGAAGTTTGCTAACTACCTTGCCGTGAGAGGACATTTTGTTACTTGCACCAAACTTGCTACATGTTATTGCACAGCAACCTTGCATGACATGCACGGCAAGCTTCCATCAAGTTTACTGCAAGTTTTCGTGCTGATTGGGATTACATGGGTTACGTCAACGTTCATTGTATCCACCTTGAGTTTAAATATTGATATAAATTTACTTATCAATATTACCTCTGAGAGGACATAATATATGTTGCAATAATATTGCTCAGCAATCAGGGGCGTAGCCAAAAATAAATTTCGGAAGGGTTTTGTGAAAGCCACAGGCCTTAAAAATCATGTAATATTAATGCAATAATGTGGCCATATATATTATGCTGATTTAGAGCATAAATTTAAATGTTTACGATTTTTAATAACTAAACGTGTGCAAAGAAAATTTGATAAGATTTTGAATCAGCATTTATGTACATCGATTTTCGAAAATTTATTAGTCTCGAAAAGCATGTCGAAAAAATCCGCTTTTTTCTTTTATTTATCTGTTTTATCTTTATCTTTTTATCTTTTTCTTTATCTTTTATCTTTTTTTGTATGCATGCACTTTATCAATACTCACCTAAAGATAGAGTTTCGAGATCAGCAGAAATTGGTTTTGGTAATACCCCCGGACCCGAAGAGTCAGTAATGAGAAATTGAACATGATCACATTCGTCTTTTGTCTTCAAAATATCCATATCTACATCAGTGTTGTGAAGCTTCTTTGCCACTGTCTGCGTCAAATATAAGTATATATTAAAATGAACAAAGATACACCGAAAAAGCAATATAATTGTAAGAAATCCACTCTAATAATTTTAAAAAGATGAACATTTTAAAGAACCATTAAGAATACTTGATTACATTAAGAAACTAATTTTCTTTATTAAAATACTATGTTTATTAATAATAATAATTTATTATTATTTTTGACTAATTAACAATAAATTATTATGCGATTTAGGAGATTGGAGTTATATAGTCATAAACGCAGCTGATTTGAGATATATGAATCATTAATCTCTTTTATTTTCTAGCTTTAAATGAAAAATTAAATTTGCAGTTTATAACAAAATTACCACCAAAAAAAAAAGAGAATTTGAATATAATGGGATGTTTTAATTAAAACAGCAGAGACAAGTGGAATACATATACCTTAAATCTAAACCGAGACGTATGGCAAAAGTTTTTTTTACTATATCAAGGTGTTAATTACTTTAAAATAATTGCGAACAAAATGGTAAGGGCGTCGCCGATTAGTTCAAACCCATGATAAATCACCATAAAGAATTGTGTGAGTCTCTCGCTATTGAAAAAAAGGAGTAATACTAAATATGAAATAATACTACTTACTTTCACTATTCCAATAACAATATACTCTAAACCTGGACGGTCAGAGTAATAATGTAAAACAAGAGCGCCATCCTCTGGGCGCTCTGTACATCTAAAAGACGGTGCTCTCATTCCTGGATATAACGTTCCAAGGTGATCATGAAGTGCATCCAAATTCTGTAAAACAATTTTAAAACTGTGACAAAATTTTTTATGAGAAAAAATACTAAAGTTTTAGTGAAAAATAATTAAAAATTACAATAAATTTCCACTACATTAAATTAGGGAACGAATTCAATCTAACTAATTTAAATTTAGAGAGTTGTTTTAATTTTAACTTTACACTTAAGTTTCCTGTAAATTTGAATCGTAAACTTGTCAACATTCTGAAAAAAACCGTGTAAAAAGCTTTAATCTATACCTGCAAGAAATCTCTCGGTGTAGCTCCTAACACTTGAAGTATTTTATCATAACCCGAATCTTGACAAAATTCAAAAAACATACGTCCAAATAATTCGAGAATGTCATTTGCTGGAATATCTGAAAAACAAAAAAATGTTGTATGAAAACTTTACAATATTTTAATTAAATTTTTCAACATTTACTCTGTTATTAGTACTTATACAAAAATCTAAGTCTTAATTATTTTCAAACAGGGAAATTTTTTAAAATAATTAAACGAGTCAATGTAAAATATATACATATGAGAGATTCTTTTTCAATCGCCCCAGCCCAAAAAGTCAATGTTCTGGAATTGGCTTCATACTTTGGTAAATTGTTGTCCTATATGATAGTAATAAATCCCTAAAATATAAACACATTAAAAAAATATTTGTTGAAAGTAGAGGGGGTTGAAGTTTTGACGTTAAGGGTAACATTGTCATTTTCAAATCCGTATAACTATGACAAAAGTTAATGGATTTTAATTTATCTATAATGAATTTTAATGCATTTTTCACGTACTTTTCAAAAATGTATACAAAATTTAGAAAAAAAAATTTTTGACCTCTTTTTTTCAAAATCAACCCTTATTTTTCGATTTTCACCCCTTCGGGTATTTTTTTTTTTTTATTTTCATTGGAAAGCTGAGGTTTTTTCCCATGAGCTATGTAAATATGAAAATGGGACAACAATAATTTTGTGAGAAACAGAATATTAATGTAGGCGGTGCCGATAAGGGTGCAGTTAAGGAAACACGGTCATTTTCAAATCGGTATAACTATAACAAAAGTTAATGGATTTTAATTTATCTATAATGAATTTTTTTAATGCATTTTTCACGTACTTTTCAAAAATGTATATAAAATTTAAAAAAAAAATTTTTTCACCCCTTTTTTCCAAAATCAACCCTTATTTCTCGATTTTCACCCCTTCGGGTATTTTTTTTTTTTTTTTTTTTCATTGGAAAGCTGAGGTTTTTTCCCATGAGCTATGTAAATATGAAAGTGGGACAACAATAATTTTGTGAGAAACATAATATTAAATTAGGCGGTGCCTACCTAAATCCTCGAAGATGATCTTCAGGTGTACCCTTTATCGGCACCGCCTACTTTAATATTCTGTTTCTCACAAAATTATTGTTGTCTCACTTTCATATTTATATAGCTCATGGGAAAAAACCTCAGCTTTCCAATAAAAATAAAAAAAAAATACCCGAAAGGGTTAAAAACGAAAAATAAGGGTTGATTTTGAAAAAAAAGAGGTCAAAAATTTTTTTTTCTAAATTTTGTATACATTTTTGAAAAGTCCCAATGGGAAACTGCCACGAGTAACCATTGGCGTATTAATGGCCCAATGATGGGAGCCAATGAAAAAACCATTGGCACCCAATAATGGACCATTATTGGTAAAGTCATGGGCTGTCCACGCCGATGCCAATGATTGGCAACCATCATTGGCAAATTATTGGCAACCAATAATTAGCCAATATTAAAAATTTTAATAATAATTTAAAAAATCAATAATTTAAAACAAATTTATATTTTTATTATTTTTTAATAGTTATTATTATTATTATTTTATTTTTAATAATTAAATTAAAATAAAAAAATGGTCATCAAAGTATTAGTGAAACTATTTCTTCCAAAAAAGAGTTTGTCTCAAATCCAATTAATAGAAGAGACATCGGGCAGAAAAAAATTTCGACGAGAAAAAAATTTTAGATCACTGCTTATATACCAATCAAGTGGCATCTCAACTGCGAGAAACAGTGATGTTCGCCCTCCCTTTGCGGCGTTGAGTGAACTAAAGTCCAGAGCTGAGCCATCAGCGCAGCGCGGGAACATTTAAAAAATTTGATTTTATTAGATATTTTATTTTATAATAATTAACGAATTATTAAGTATGACATTATGTTATTAATAATTATTAATGACATTAATTATTTATTAAGTTAATTATTTGTCATATTTAAAATAAAATAAAATATCTAATAAAATCAAATTTTTCAAATGTTCCCGCGCTTCGCTGATGGCTCAGCTCTGGACTTTAGTTCACTCAACGCCGCAAAGGGAGGGCGAACATCACTGTTTCTCGCAGTTGAGATGCCACTTGATTGGTATATAAGCAGTGATTTAAAATTTTTTTCTCGTCGAAATTTTTTTCTGCCCGATGTCTCTTCTATTAATTGGATTTGAGACAAACTCTTTTTTGGAAGAAATAGTTTCACTAATACTTTGATGACCATTTTTTTATTTTAATTTAATTATTAAAAATAAAATAATAATAATAATAACTATTAAAAAATAATAAAAATATAAATTTTTTTTTAAATTATTGATTTTTTAAATTATTATTAAAATTTTTAATATTGGCTAATTATTGGTTGCCAATAATTTGCCAATGATGGTTGCCAATCATTGGCATCGGCGTGGACAGCCCATGACTTTACCAATAATGGTCCATTATTGGGTGCCATTATTGGAATTATATTGGCATCCCTGGCTACCATTATTGGGCCATTAATACGCCAATGGTATTTTTCCCATTGGGGTACGTGAAAAATTCATTAAAATTCATTATAGATAAATTAAAATCCATTAACTTTTGTCATAGTTATACGGATTTGAAAATGACAATGTTACCCTTAACGTCAAAACTTCAACCCCCTCTACTTTCAACAAATATTTTTTTAATGTGTTTATATTTTAGGGATTTATTACTATCATATAGGACAACAATTTACCAAAGTATGAAGCCAATTCCAGAACATTGACTTTTTGGGCTGGGGCGATTGAAAAAGAATCTCTCATATGTGATCTGGATAATTAAAAGAGACCTTACGTTCGAAAAAATCGATTTTTTATTGATTGTTGATTCTGATAGAGAAAATTTTTTTCTATCAGAATCACCAGTCAAAAAAAAAAAAATATTTTTTTTCGGACGTTAGGTCCCTTTTAACTGTTTGAATATCGGTTGGAGTTCATTTGAAAGAATCCGTGATCGAAATGTTTTCTCTTCGAAAAAATCGATTTTTTATTGATTGTTGATTCTGATAGAGAAAATTTTTTTCTATCAGAATCACCAGTCAAAAAAAAAAAAATATTTTTTTTCGGACGTTAGGTCCCTTTTAACTGTTTGAATATCGGTTGGAGTTCATTTGAAAGAATCCGTGATCGAAATGTTTTCTTTTTCAATATAATTTTCGGATAACCATTCAATGATTTCTGTTAATGAAAATTACTTTTTCAACACTAAAAATTAAGACTAGTATTTATTATTGTTTCTCACATATTAAAGTACTGATATACATAAATAAACATTTAGCATACGTACTAAGTCGATTAACAGCTGCAGAAATAAGGTTATATGTAATTTCATCGTCATAAATCTGACGAACCAGAAATTGTCCGTCCATATTTATAGCAGCATCTCTCCTAAAAAAATTACTCTTTAATTAACAGAATACACACTATAAGATATACTTATAGGTCCCAGTAAAAAAAAATAATTGAGAGTAAGGAAAAATAATTGGGAGTTAGCTTACTTTGTATTCGGTTTGGCGTCTAAACTGTGTAGGGACGTTACGGCCAATTATTTTTTCTTACCCTGAATTCTTTTCACCTGGACTGTTTGAATTGATGTTTGTTGATCAACGTTTGCATTACAAATGAATAGAATGCATGTTCCGAAGTATCAAAATGCCGATTTGGAATAAGAAATGTAAAATTTTATGAAAAAGACAAAATGTGAAATATGACTGATTTATCGACAATTTTATCATGTGAGTAGTACTCGTATGGTAAATTTATCATATGAACACTACTCACATGGTAAAATTGTCGGTGAATAATCTGTCACACTTCGCCTTTATTTCTTTTAAAAAAATTATATATTTCTTATTCTAAATCGGCTTTTTTACACTTCGAAATATTTATTCTATTTATTTATAAGGTAATCTCGAATAAACAAACGTCAATTCAAATGTTCAAGTGAAAAGAATTCACGGTAAGAAAAAAATAATTCACTGTAATGTTTCAATTCGGTTTTTTCGCCAAACCGAATTCAGCTTAAGTTACTACCAATTCTTTTCGCTTACTTACAATTATTTTTATTTACTGGGTGGTTAGTGCAGTTAGTTCTAAGTGTGAAGTTGGTAGGTTGGGTTACATTTGCATTAGAATTTAATTATCATCCGAATTATAGTTTTTAAAATATGTAACGCCGCACGAGAAAAGGGACTTATCCCAGAAATAACATTAGGCTTACAAGTTTTTAGTTTTAGTTTTTTTTTTTCTCTTGCGGCGTCACATATATGTTTGTGCTCTACCCCAAATAGAATAAAAGTTTACGGCAAAATTGCCAAGACAGATTATCAAGCAGGTCTCAAGTAGCAAACAGTTCCATCTCCACAAGGTTGCTACAAGCTTATACACGGAAAAAAATTTCATAGCGAAAACACTGCAATTTTCATGTAGACTATGAGAAAATTGAGTTAACGACACATAAATTGGGAATAGCACAATTCCATTTGCATTAATACAGAGGCATAACGCATGGGCAAAAAATAAAGTGTGACACACTCTATGAGATTGGTTTGTTTAGTTGGTTATGTTTGTATGAGATTGGATTGTTTCCCAAAATTCAGCATTTTGTGATAACTTCAACTGCGGTTTTTAAATGGCGCTAGAGATATTGTTGATAACACAAGAAATTTTTATCCGTGTACAATGGAAGCTAGCTGAAAGTTTTCAATTAAACGTTGCTGAAAGCTTTCAATGAAAGGATACTATACTTATACTGTTAATGTGGAATGACAGATTTGACTTGCTCGGATTTAAAAAAAAAGAATTATTTTTTTTTAATTTCATTTTTTTATTAAACTTCTTTTTATTAACTTAATATTAATACACTGTAAAAAGAGGAGTTGAATTTCATCACCCTATATAGGGGTTACTATAAAAATCACACCCTTTCGGAGTTAAAGCGAAGGAAGTTGATGCTTATAGTGAGTTAAGTTATGTATAGGAAGTTAAAATGCTTTGGGAGTTAATCTAATGATTAACTCGACAACGCTCTGAGATGTGAATAAGTGTGAAAATAAATTTTATTTTACTTTAATTAAAATAATTTAAAAAAATATTTTTTTGTTTTTTTTAAATCGAACTAGGCCCTTTTTAGTTTCTACAACCTACAAATTTCCCTTTTCTCCATCATTGGATTCAAAGGAGGGCCTACGGGAGTCTGAAAGATCCAAAAGAGGGTTCATTCAGGTTCTAGGAGAAGCTAAAGAGGATTTAAATTACCACTCGAGTAGTGCTTTATTTGTTACACGCAAAAAAAGAAAAAGTAATTTTTACTACTTTCGGAGTAAAACGGGAACTGTCCGAAGTTTCTGCGCATATCTGGAAACTTTTACTCCAAAAATAGTAAAATTTACTCCAGAAATAGTAAAAATAACTATAGAAACAGAAAAATTTACTACAAAAATAGTCAATTTTACTATTTTGCAGTAAAAATTACCAGAGATGCGCGAAACTTCGGACAGTTACCGTTTTACTCTGAAAGTAGTAAAAATTACTTTTTCTTTTTTTCCGTGTAGACATATTACTTAGACAATGTTCTAGATGAAAATGGTTTCTCTCTTAGCTTTTTTTTAATTTTTACAAAAAATATAATATCTAAAGCCTTAATTTTGCCGTTTATTGTAAAACAGTCAAAACTACAACCCAGCATTACTTACTTGATTGCCTCCCATGTGTCGTTGCCAAAGGTCTTCACCACAAGCAGTTCCAAGGCATAATTTACAAAACCATACTGCACATATATTGAAAAAAAATGAATGATTAGTTGATACACAGAGAAAATAAATTTTATTTACTTTTAAACTTTAAATACTTAGTAAAATGTCTGTACATTGATTTAAACTTCAAAATTTTTTACATATAATTTGTCTTTTTGAACGTCAATGTTTCCAAAAATGACCATAAAAAATTTCATATATGTGACGTTCCATGAGGAAAGGGACCTTAGCTGCAATAGACGCATTTTCCAGAAAAGGTATTTAAAGTAGAGCGTCCCTGATTGGTTGAGACCCTCCATCGAAAATCAGCCCCACCACCTTACTACTACATCGTTCCTACAGCTCACGCTTACGACAAGTATACTAGTGTAGAAGTGGTGGGGATGGTTTCTGTAGTCCGTGCTGGAACGCGATTAACATGGTCATAATTAATGCTTTATAACAAAAAAACTAAATAGAAAAGTACAATTTTTAACTTTTGTATCTGAAAGAGCAACTCAAGATCTATCGACTGATATCAAAAACTCAATTTTCATTTTTTTGCAGCTAAGGTCCCTTTCCTCATGGAACGTCACATATGTATATATCTTTATGTTTGTCACAAAGCTTTGTATATCCCAGCGAGAAATAAAAGGTTTAATCGACGTCTATCCGACGTCTAAGACGTTGACAACAGGTCTAGGTCTAAATTTGATCTAGAAAGTATAAAATTGTTTAATCAGAACCTTAAACATATAAAACCGACCTCTTGTCCAAACACAATTATTTTAAATCTTTTAAAACTTTTTTCAAGCATTTAAGAATCCTGAAATATCTGGTGCTGTGAGGGACTAAGACAATCATTAATTCATGGGTATCCAGTGCAGAAATTTCCCTACTTAGTTCTACTTTAAGTAAGGCTCTCTCATGTCCCTTGCCAGTTTTTCCACAAGTCCGGCATTTCCCAGATTAAACGACAGTTACTTGGTTATGCCACGTTTGCAATATAACCTAGAAAACTACATATCAAGGCAGTGGAAAGGTCCTTGCCAGTTTGTCCACAAGTATGGCATTCCTTAGAGCAACTCGGTCTTGCCATGGTTTTATGACATAACCTCAAAATAAAAAGTAATTTTTAACACCAAATAAAACTATAATAAAATTAAATTTCCATGCAAAATATTTTATCAAGTAATAATTATTTAATAATAATATTTATGAATTTTAAATTATTTAAATAACAATTAATTAATTAAAATAATTTAGTTATTAAAATTATTAATTTTTTAAAAGATTAAAAAAAAATTAATTAAGTTAATTTTTAAAAAAAATTTAACAATTTTAATCTAAGAATTTTGTCAACAACTCAAAAGAAATAAGTGATTTTTTCTTTACAAAAACTAAAATTAAAATAAAATAAGTGTTATCTAATCGACACTTTTTGTCGGATTAGAAATCAAATAGCTGGACTAAGACATCAATTAGTATACTAATTTCTCACCGTGGGTAGGGGGATGGTACTACCGAAATCATGATTGTAGACGTCTTATAGAGTTCTCTATGCAGGTAACCTTTATAAGGAATTCTAAAAGGAATTTTTGATAGAGTTCAATTTTGTCTACGAGTTAGACGTCCAATAGACTCCAACCCATGCGGAAATTTCAAACTGGCGCGGATCCCAGCCAGTACCGACGTCAACATGACTGTACTGGCTGGGATCCGCCTTTCAACCGGCTCGGTACAGGCATTATACCGAAAAGTGACTTGGCCAGGAGCACGCTGGCAACCGGCTCGGTACAGCCATTCCTACCGCCCGGGAACCGGCAGTAAGGAGTCGATGTATTAAGAATTCAACCGGCTGGGAACTGGCATTGCTCCGACTGCGGATTTTCGTTCTATAGATTTGAAACGGGCTGGGTACTATAATTCAACCGGCTGGGTGCTGGCATTCTACTGCCTGACAACCGCCTTGGATCAAAAATTATTTAAATGATATTTTCAATAAATATGAATAAAAAAATATTAATTAATTGCAAAAGACACATTTTAAGGGGACTTTCTGGTTTAGAATTTCAAAAAAATCGATTTTTTTATTTGCTTAAAAATGTTTCATAGTATCATAGAATTACTGTCCCAAAACGTTTTTTAAAAAATATGTACAAAAACAAAAGTTATAATAACAATCTACAGTTATCTTATTTACATATTTGGTGTTCCTCTTTTATTGATATTAGCTTGAAACATGTTACTCGAGGGTTTTTGGGGTCGCTGATTACGAATTTGATGTCAGTTTTTGAAAATACAAAATGGCAGATCCAATATGGCAGACGAAAAAATAAAAATTCAACTGGATTTGCTTAAAACTTGCTACTCGGGGGTTTTTGGGGTCGCTGATTACGAATTTGATGTCAGTTTTTGAAAATACAAAATGGCGGATCTAATATGGCGGACAAAGATTAAGAAATTAATTAAATTTAGTTGAAAATGGTTACTTGTAGCCTTTTGAGAATGCTAGTTATAAATATAGGCATAAAACAATAACGTTCTAGGAACCTTTTAAATACATATACAAAAACTGACATCAAATTCGTAATCAGCGACCCCAAAAACCCTCGAGTAGCAAGTTTTAAGCAAATCCGGTTGAATTTTTATTTTTTCGTCCGCCATATTGGATCCGCCATTTTGGATTTTCCAAAACGGACATCAAATTCGTAATCAGCGACCCTAAAAACAGCGGGATACGAAGTTCTGTTGTAATAAAAAGTTGTTTGATATTCATGACTCAATGAATTATGTTATTAAAACTTTGAACGCGTTTTTCTCGAAAACTCATTTTTCAAACTAGTACAGAGCTTTTCTCGAAATCTACCGAACCGATTTTCAAATCCCAAAAATTTTTCGATTCTTTTTTTAAAAAACTGGTGCCTAATCCTCTAAAAACTCATATTTCTACCCTTGTGTTTTTATATGGAGGTAAATGGATCCAAAAACACGGCGTTTTTGCGAGTTTTTTGAGAAAAATGTACATAAAAAATAAAAAAATCTTTAAAAAAAATCGTTTTTGAGGTTTAGGCACAAGAATAAATCCTTATGAAGAGATTCCCGTTTGGAACTTGAATTTATGTATTACAAGTTGCCCGGAATCTAACGTACCAAAAAAAGGTATCTTTTGGAAGACGCCACCTACAGCTATGAAATTGAACTAAATACACTCAAACATATTTTTTAAATTTTTTTTACTCAATGTGCTACAATGTTCAAAAATAGTTTTTACAATTTCTTTAATACTATTCTTACAATAAAAGTTTTAAAACCTTCCGTTTTTGTCAATTCTAAACCAGAAAGTCCCCTTAATGAGAATTTATCAATAGTTCACTTTACACATTATTAAATACACTTATTGATATTTTTTATTATGTACACATTTGAAAAATCCTATCTCTTGGGGGTTCGAACCTACGCTTATAATCGAATATTTACGCACCGAAATCACGCACGCTAACCACTATGCTAAACTCGCATGGAACTTTCGGATTGTAAATGCATTCTTGAAGTGTTACTAGCTTAAATAAAAATTAAAAAATTCTTACGTGGTAATGAACATTTTTTAAATACGAACAGATGTTACAGATATATTTTAAATATTTTATTCAATGTATATTTATGAATAATTAAATATTTTGCCTAAAAAAAGTTTGTTATATTTTTATCATTCTATTTTTTTAATATTTATTTTATTAAATAATTTTAGTATGAACAGACTTAATATCCGGTATTCTTCCGACGCCCCGTAAAAAAATGAGATCCGCAGGCGGAACAAATCCAGTACCCCGCCAGTACTGACGATTGTACGAAGGCGGATCCGAAAGTCGGAGCTGAATTTGTACCGCGTCGTTTGTATTTTGGGATCCGAATCGGTACTGGCGGTCTGTACGAGTGCGATTCCCAGCCGGTTGTAAACTCCGACATTCGTCCGACTTTTCCGCCTGGGAAATTCTACGCGTCTACAAACCTAGACGAATTATGGCGTATTATGTCGACGTAAGTGATTTAGACCTTATGTAGATCTTGGTCTAGACGTTAAATAGACGTCAATTAGACTTTTCATTTCTCGCTGGGGTCAATCACGCAAAAACGGCTCAACCGATTTGTATGAAATTTGGCACTGTATTAGGTATTAATCAAGAAAAAATAGAAACTTACGACAGACAGTAATTAATTATTAACATTTAATCAATATTAAGGGGACTTTCTGGTTTAGAATTCCAAAAAAATAAATTTTTTTTTTTGCTTGAAAATGTTCCTTAGAATTTTAAAATTACTGTCCCAAAACGTTTTTTAAAAAATATGTCAAAAAACAAAAGTTGTAATAAAAAATTATTCGATAGTCCTGGCTCAATGTATTAAGTTATAAAAATTTTAAACGCGTTTTTCTCGAAAACATATTTTTCAAACTGGTGCACGGCTTTTCTCGAAATCTAATGAAACGATTTTAAAAAACTAAAAACCATTCGATTCCTTAGTTAAAAAACTAGAGAATAAATCTTTGAAACTTCTTTTTTCTACCCCCTATTTTTTTATAAGCCCAAAAAACACAGTGTTTTTTCGAATTTTAAAGAAAAAGTTGATAAAAAATAAAAAAAAAATTGTTTTTAGGTTTATTGTCAAGAATAAACCCCCAAGTAGAAATGTGCCACTGGCATAGTACTGACCCAACACTGCCAGTCAGTACAACAGTATTGACTGCCGCACTGGGTCAGTAGTGGGCCAGCCCTGGCTGGTAACGCTGTCCAGTACTGATTTTGTCCCGCTCACCAGTACTAACGTAGTACTGGAATAATACTGACATAATACTGGTAAAGTACTCATCCGGAGTTAAAATCTCATTTTTTTACAAAATACTATATAATACTCTTTCCATTGCAAATTTCATCCTTATAAGCTTATTACTCCCATTTTTACCACGAAAAGTTAATGTCCCAATGGGAAATGCCAGTCTACTGACGGCTAGCACCACGGCGCAGTACTCAGACGC